GCAAAAAGTTATTAATATATTATTTTTAATAAGTGTGAACAAACTTTAGAACATATCTCAATTTTCATTGGTCAATTAACGGTAAATATTTCAAAATAAAAAGGAATATTTCTTAAATATTAGTTAAATGTTATTTAGAAAATATTTGTTTCTAATATTTAATTAGCATGAAACAAATACATACAATAAATACATACACAAACAATAAATATTTGATTTAAAGGTCAAATAAATATTTACAAGAAATATTTTTATAATATATAAGAATCTGTCGCGTCAACCTATATTAAATATTGCAAAAAATATTACTGTAATATTTGTGTGCTATCTGGGATACAGGCCCTAATTGAATGTGCTTAATGAACTGAATGAATAGTTACCACATACGACTTTTTGGCTTTTTTTACTTGAATTTTACTTGAAAAAATTGGTCAATGTAAAAATTTTACGTTTTGAGAACATCACCAACAACAGATATTTTGCATGTTTGTCACGAAAAAAAAACAGGTAGTAAGGAAAATTAAAATAGTATTAAATATGTTCCAGGAAAGATCACAATTTCTCAAATGGGCATAAACCCATTTTTACTTAATTAAAAACACATGATTAATTATTAATTACAAAACAAATATATATATATCTTCTACGGGTCTTAAAAATGTAATAAAGCAATCGATTGCGGATAGATAATACGTGAAATTTCCCCCAAAAATAAAAAATGGGTTAAGAAAACAATGTTACAACTGGCAGAACAAATTGTTTTTCTGATTTCCCTCCCAACAACGCAAAAGAATTAAACTTRAACAGATTTCAATAGGGRSAAAGAGAAAATCATCTTCCAAAGTGTCACYCTTTTGTAACCCAKASAAACATATTTYAATGTCTGTATTTTCAAAAAAATGCTTCTGCTTATTTTGRCTTTATTTCAAACTCAGATTTCTACATAAAATACTAAATAAAAAAGATACTATTAAAAAATTAAATTTTGAAGTACTAACATATACTAGCTAAGTAATTTAATTTRACATAAAAAATACCAGTTGTAATGTATTTCGTTTTATATATTTATGAACCTGTTTTRCAACGCTGAAAKTGAAACTGTGTATCACATTTTCACCTTTATGTCTGTTGTTGTGAAAGACAGAGAGTATAAATTGTTTAATATAATTAMRYTTATTAAAATTTATGAAAATATGCAGGGTGTGCCATTTGCAAAAAAACCGGTAATAGTATGTGCTAGAAAACGATASATTTGTGACAGCTTTTGATACTCAAGCAACCAGAAGAGGAAAAGGAAGAGAAACAAAACAGGAAATCTTCTCATTTATCGGCGGCGAAGACTTTTGCAAAAGAAGAGAAAACTTTTATAAAGTCTTAGCTTGAACTACTTGTGATCCAATTATTTTTGAGTAATTACCGAAATTGGAAACTTTATTTTGAAAACAATCTAGATCACCATATGGATAACTAAAAAAGTCAGGAAATTTAATACAAAAATGTAAATTTGGTCTGTCGTCCAAATTTAAGACACCATATTATAACAACATTTTACTGCTTACAGCTAATTATTATTGATTCAATGAATATACGTGTAGGTACAACTAAGCAGCGTCTGAAGTGCCGCTTTGAAAAATTATAAAACTAAAATGGATGAAGCAATGTCAGAATTTACACCTTAAAAAACTCGCCTGGTTTGTTTGTGTTAGTTTCCCGTTTCTTCACTTCATCTCTTTTGCTGCGCATTTGCTTAGCCTACTTTATAAACACGTTGCTTGTTGACAAAATGCAATTATATGACTAAAAGTTTTAGAAAACGACATCATTCTAATTGTTTATTGAGTAGAATAATAAAAAGCTTTTCGCTCAGTTAAGTAATTGATTTTACCTTTATTTATTAAGTTGAACAACACTGACATTCTGCTCTCAAACCTATACACCTACCAAATAAACACTTTAAAAAGATCCACTCTTCTTCTACACTAGATTTGCTTAAAATGCTTAACGAGCAATTGTAGATTTTACACCGCTTAAATAATATATTTTGCGCTATTTGCTTCCAATTCATATTCAAATCCCCAATGAATTGCTGGACTCAGTCTTCCACTGCAGGCGAAAAAAAATTATAGTAATTCAGAGGTGAATTGAATGATTGATACGATTTGATAATCATCGCTATAAAGTCGCTGCAAAAGAAAAACAAATACGTATTTTTAAATTCATAAGAAAATTAGCTTAAAAAAGGTTTATTTAGGATCCTTTTTGCCGATTTTTTCCAGTTTGCCAAGTTCATAAACACTTTTCTCATAGACTAAATGTAAATCTCCAATCAAACATTTCAGACTAAACCGTCCTTAAAAATGTAATTCATTCCATAATTCAAATTGCTCTCACCTTAATAAAATGTGTCCAAAATGCATTTTCAAAACTGAAATTCAACATTTAGGTAAATTCACTGATAATCATGTCTACGTGCAGTGTTTTATTTCTGGTTAATTTCGAAGAGACACTTTTCACAAAACATCACTATTAGAGACCAGAATGAGCAATTAGTAGCACGCGCGGATTGCTATTTAAATCAGGTGGGTGGCCGGCATCGAACATCGCGGTTGAAACATACAAGAAAAAAATCAGCGTCATTTACTCGGCTCTCACGCAACTTGTTTTCTTCGGGATTGGCCAGCAAACCCGACGATTTAAGTCTAGTTATCAGCGAAAAAAGCTGAGCGCTGAACGATGGCTGTTTGTGCGTGCAACTAGGCAAATAAGCGCGCTTTTTCCAAGTTTGTATTTCGTATTAGCGCTACGAAGAGCGGCAAGCGACTAAACGCGCCTATAGGCGCTTGTTTTAGTCACGATGTGTACCAGCCCAATAGAAAAATTTCGGTCTAGTAGATGATAATACGACAATTTAATTGTACTATTTCCGATAAATCTTCAGTCAATAGGCGACCGGAATCAATCATTATTGTGGGAATTTCGTAAATCTCTGCCCAGTTCCCATAACATACATTTACCATTTACTTTGAGGGCTTTAACTGTTGCAGTATTCAAATGACAAACTTCGAAAAAGGCTTATGTGATTTTGCTTATCGAGATTGATATGGCAAAGTAAGAGATGCCCTACATTTTAATTGGTTCCCAATAACTTTGGCAAACTTCAGTTTACGTTTAATATTTTTATCTAGTATTTCCTGGTTAACGACATTGGAAAATTACAATTTCAGGTCATGTATAAAATTTGGAAAAAATTCAAGTAAAACTACACAAAAATATTTTTTTGGGCAATTTTGGATGAGAATAAAACTTACTGTAATTTGTAATACTACTTACTAAATTTATAAATTGTAAACTAAAATTTGTATTTTGTAAACTAACATGTAGTAAGCAAAAATGCCGACGCTTTCATTGTGGCCGTACTGTACTTCGTAGTGTGAGTTTCTGTTGAAATATTTTGATTTCAATAATCCACTGTGTGTGTCAAAATTTGTAATATTTTAAAGATAGTTTATATGTAAAACTAAAAATTCACTCACTCAAAAGTTATTATGTATTTCTAAAAAGTCCTAAACTTTATTATTAATTCAAAAAGAAGTTATTATTTAGAAAAAGCCCATGCTGGATGGTGTAATGTTACCCTTAAATGTGTATTTTTCAGTTGCATTCGAGAGTAAATTAGCCTTTTGTCACAAATTTCCCAAACTATTACCAGAAAAAAATTATCGGAATTGAGAACTATTGAAAGTTTGATTCAGTCATAACAATATGTGTGAGGAAATTCGGACAGTTTTGACCCAGAAGGTGAAATTTTAATATTAGTCATGTAGGTGCAAGATTTGGCCAACATTTTATGGTTTTCGTCCCGTTTTTGCTCAGTTCTCGGAAGCAAAAAGAGAAAGAACGCTCATTTTTACATCATTCCAAACCGAAAATGAGCTATCTTCATTTTCGTCATGGAAAACAAACTAATGCAATTAAAAATGTTGAAATTTAAAGGTAAATTCCGGGAAAAGTACTTAAAAAATATCTTAAAAGTATTAATTTTCTACATAACTACAAGTTAAAAAAACATAGACTAGACATAGACAAAGAGACCTATGTATATGAAACCTTACAATGTTACAAGAATTTTAAAAAGATTATGTTCAGTCACCACCATTTACATAATTCTATTATAATAAAAAAAAAAAAACCAAACAGAAAACGGGGGTATATGACCGCTTTGTCACCCAAATTTAATTGAAAATCATGAATGAATCTCATCTTCATTAAGGAAGCTATTGGCCCTAAAGCTAAATATATGTATTGTTGTATTGTCAATAAATAAAATAAAAAATAAGAGAATAAATTGCTGAACTCTTGCAATAATGAGAAATGAAATGCATAGTTACTTGCAAAGCAAATCTTTTGCTTCACCATATTGTCATATTGTGAGAACCACCATATATGAGCATAACAGAAGAGCACTTTTAAATTACCTACGGAGGATGTCAAATAAAGGATAATGTAAAATGCGGTGGTTGTTGAAAAACTCTTCACTAATCATAATAATAATATACAAAAATATAATTTAATACTGTTGGTTAATAAGTTATTTAATACTGTAGCCCAGCCTGATCGAAGCTATTAAATATAATATTTGAGAATAAAATATCATGCACAATGAGGGCTAAATCAAACAATTTTACCTAAATCTTAACAATCGCAACTTTTTGCGCCATTAAAATAAGATTCGTTTTTAGTTTTTTGCGTCTAACGGATACGTTGGATCAATCCACGGGCTACAAAAAGACTAACAAAAAATTCAACCGATTTTTGTAATATATTTCTGTATCACGATTTTCTAAATCGCCACAAAATACGATTAAAACCGTTTAAACTTAAATAAGAAATGAGCATTCTTGTTCAATAGCGTTAATATAAAAACCCGATTTTAATAAAAACATTCTTATAAACTTTGCATCTTTCATCGTAAAAGAAAACCGAAAACTCAATTAAATACACGAAAATTTACTCCTGATTGTTTAATTACAAATTAAAATAAATATGTTGCTAGTATATGCAGCGGAATTGAAGGCCTCCACAGGCGGTCTGAAAGTTATTAATTAAAATCCACAACTTATTTTACACATATCCATATTTACATCCACAACCATATTTACCCATAAAAAATATTAACAATTTAACGACATACTGATGAAATATCTCTTACCAATTCATTAAGTAAGAGTATTTTTTTGCGCTTTTTACGACAAAATAGATTTAGAATCGGAGCAAACTACAACAAAACTTCTTTATTAACATGTTCTTTACCCAGCAATTTGTCAAGAATTATTTTTTCTGGCGATATGCAAGAAAACAAGTTATATATCATAATGAAAATTCATTAGAATAAAATGCTAAAATCCCATAACATCACCTCAAACCAGCTTTATAAATTCCAACCAACAGGTTATTCTTATTAGTACAAGTCTCAGGTTGCAACTTGCCCAAATGCACTGTATAACCGCTATCTTCCGCATAGCATCGTCTATCAGAATCGATAACATCCATACAGAAATAACCCTGAGTGGTTTTACTGTTTTCCTTGTTATGTGTTTGATCTGCTGCATGTGCCAAATTGAAATAGTTGCTTTCGGAATTTCGGAAAATTGCTTGAAATTTCGCGCTCCTTGGATATGAGACTTCATGGCAATCTTTAATCCCACCGTAGCAGCAAGGACAACAAACGAAATCTGCGTGGTTTTTTATACACATTTCAAGTACCAGATCGGTAGCCACCCCACATGCATGTAGGGCAAGGCCTAGATCAAAAGTTCCCGTGAAATAGTCGAGATTCGACTGCACAATAATAACGTTGTTGATGTGGAGTTTTGCAATTGTGGCTTTAGCTCTTGCAAGTGACATTTCCTTGTTTTCCACTAATATAACTTTGCACTTAGGCAAAGCCAAAGCGATTAGTATGCCTAAATGACCACTTCCACTACAGAAATCCACAATTCGACATGTTTTATCTCCAACTGCTTCCAAAGTTGCTTTTACTAGGTTTTCTAGCTGCTCGCATTTCCTGGCAGCTCTTTTAGCCGGCAACGCCCCACCTTGTGGATTTGCACCCAATGGTATGCTATACCAATCGAAGGATTTATAAAAACCAAAAGGCAAAACATTATTGGCAATATCTGCTTTATAAGTATCTATCAAACTAAGAGCAGCCTCAATTTTATTCTGGTTAGTATGATTGCCAGAAAGTGCCCTGGTAGGATCTGCTGTATACAAGCTCACGTTAGGTATTTCAGGTACAATAACTTTCTTTTTACAACTTTGTTTTGTTTCAAGGTTGCTTAATTGAAAGCTAACACCGGGAAAATTATGCTGCTGTACTTTATCAAACCAGGCATTAATAAGAGGTATTTGCGGTTCAACGGCTAAATATTGGCAATATTTGAAGAAAACTTGGAAACAAGGGTATAGAATGAAATCAGCCAGAGTGAAATACGGTCCTTCAGCATAGTCATGCAACACATTAATATCTGCACGGGATTTCGTGCTTATTAGACTCTGGTCATTGAGATTGTTTCGGGCTATTTTGTAAATATTGTGAATTCTCACTGGCTACGACAAGTGGTTCTCATATTTGACAATATCACCCGGCAAATTAAAGTGCCCTTCTTGTAGAAATTGGTGAGATAAAACTTTGTTAATAGTGCAAGTGATGTCAATTTCACAAAACTGTGTCCAAACTGAGCTTTCAGCACATGTGACTAGGCAAGCTCCTCGAAATCCAAGTAGTTTTTGCACAGTCTGCTTTTCACTGGTTCTGCAGATTTGTCTGGCCACAGAACATAGTCCTGAGATTACGTAATTTTCGAGAAGTATTACTGGCCAAGTGCACAGCTGAGCCAGTTCCGGCGCTTCATGAACAAGATCGAAATCCAGATCTTCAAAATTGCAAGCCAAGACACTGCCGTTAATGTGGGAAATATTTTTAACTTTAAGCCTTAAATCACATGCCTCTGATAGTTTGTAAATCGTTAAAACTAGGAACGTTTTGATGTCTACTAGATATTGTCCATCTTCCATACAAACGTTAATATATAATTCATACATTGTTATACGCAGTTAGCTAATTGCCGTTGCACTCTCTGTATCATTCTCTTACTCAACACCCGCTTTCTAGCCTTTACACATAAGGTGGAAATGAGGCTCAAAACTAACATCAAGCCCTCAAAAATCCAGAAAGTCTGTTCATCATAAAATGCAGCTTTGTCACAACTTCTAGTTACAGTTTTCCCATTTGCACACCTCAATATCTCTATGTACTGAGTATGGATGCAGACACCGAGACTCTTGCTGCGCAATTCAAAGGCTGAACAGGGTTCACACTCCTTCAGTACCACATAGGGCTCCTTTTCAAAGCAGGACGAGTTTTGCTCTACAATGAACCTGTTTTTTCTGGCTGCAGTTCTATTGTTTTCAGTCCAGTAAGACTCCAATACTAATACGAGAAGCGTCAACCTGAAATAGTTGTTATTCTATAGTTATATTGTTGAACATAAAGGCAAAGTGAATACAAAAAGAAAACTTACGCTCCTAGAAAGATGATTCCTAGCAGCATAGGTTTCTTGGGGCACAATTCAATCATAGCTCTAAATGACTTACACAATATAGGTTTAAGTTTTTTCAATTCTGATATCCAAAAAATGGGATAATTTGAGGAAACAACTAATAATGTTAAATATTAAAATTAGCCTTATTTCAACTGACAGAACAAAACGTGAACAGTGAATTATCAATCCAAGGATCACCACTTTTGCAGGGCGATTGGGTTGCTCGAGGTTTATCAGTATGCGTGTGAGAGAGATCAATATAGCAGGCGGCGACTTGGTCTAGACTAATTCCATCAGACACCAGAATATATTCCAAGACGATGCGAAAAACTTCTGTTTACTGTCTATGCCTGACTTTTTAATTAATATTTATCCCCCAAATCAATGCTGATCATACACTTTTTTAGATTTATTTAGATATATTTTAAAAAACCTAAAATAAAAAATAATCTATCTAAACATTAAAAAAAATGGCATAGGCACATGATCAAAAGAGAGACTCTCTTTGGCTCTTTGTAAAATCTTGTAGGATTCCCAACTTTTCAGCGAAAAAATTAATCTGTTTTCTTGGTATGCACAAACAGAAATATTTTTTCACTCAAAAACTATGAATTTTGCAATATTTTAAAGCACTAAAGTCTCAAAAAGAAATTAGTCGATCAACTAAAAAAACGAATTAATTCTAACTAACAAATGAAAAGTTCTAGTAGTTTTTGTAGCAAGACACTCAAGAATTCACCACTTTTTCAAAGCGGATGAACTCGGTTCCTTCATCAAAATATGAGACGTACATTAAAACAAATTCCCAGCGAGTTTAATTAAGATCCATGATATAATTTTTCCGGTATTTCAGAAAACATCAATTTTTTTATGAATTTTGACCATCAATAACAGAGGAGCCGGACATTTTTTCGTAATTGGTATTTTCCTTAATTAAATTGGTCAAATCGTCTTCTTTTTAGCCAAAGAATATCGCCCTTTTAATCAGTAGGTAGGTACTTGTGGGACACCCTGTATATTTTTATTGGTAAACCGAAATTTGTATGTTCACCATAAATAATTAAGTTTTGCCTTGTTCGCTAATTTCATCACGACAATTTATCTATAAAATTGGAGAAATTGTAGCATCACTTCAACGAATGTAGGTAAAATGAAACAGCTAATACAATACTGTTTCCTTAAAAAATACTTCTGTGCACTATTTTTTTTAAATTCAAGTTTCGGGAGCAAGTGAAGAATTTTCAAAAGAAAATAATTGGCATAAGATTTGCGACAGAAACCCAGAAAAAAATAATTAATTAATATTGTTGTTGAATATTGTTGTCAGTTAATGTTGAGACAGGGGTCTAAAAATTGTTAAAAAAATAAAAAAAAAAACACAACTCATATAAACAAAAATCATAATTTATTGAAAATAAATATAAAAAATAAAAATTATTGAAAATGGTGCGCAGCTCAAATTCCGCTCTCGTTTTCTTCAGTTATGGCTGAAGAGCTGCATCAAAATCACAAACACTATTGAGATCCGTTAGATTTAGTCTTCTCTCTCCCGCAAGCAAGTAATCTCCTATAGTCGTCCCATTACGTCCCCAATAGGGAATCCAAAATCACGAAGAAACCGCTTTTCCCTTTCCTTAACAATTGTGTCAATTTGCTCCAGCTCAGTCTCTTGAATTAGCAGAGGTCCTTCTAATGGAAGACTAGCATCTTGTAGATTTTCACTCGCTGCAGTAGTGTCTCGTTTGGAGATTTTCTCATTTGCCGGAAGTTCTATGCCATTGTCTCTCACTAAGCCATCGATACTTCTAGCTTGCACATGTATGCTGCCGATGATGACGATTATCACAAAAACTACTACCGGTTTCACCATTTTAACATAAAAAAATCACAATATTTGCAAACTCGAGATGCACACGTTGCGTTGTTGAATTCTAATCTGACTTTTCTCCTACGGTTTCCGCATTTTTATACGGTTCCAAACTCATGTCATGCTCGTACTGGAATCGAGTGATTGACGCACTTGCTCATACTCTAATTAATTTGGTATATAAAAGAACAAAAATATGAGCAAACATATCCCAATTACTTGTTTAAACTTTTCATCTGGTTAAACAATGGACTTTTGCGTACACCATTTACATAATATTTTATGTTCTCATTCACACTTAGGATATTTTGCGGTGCCGACTATTATCACGAGCTTCGATCATCTAATAATAGATTTGTTTATTTCTATATAGATTTTAGAACGAGTGCTCTGCATATGCATAGACGTGCAATTGGGAACACTTTCACCATTTGAATTATGAAAAATGCGAAATTGTTGTCTTAAACGTGTGCCATATTTAATATGCAAATAAGACCGTTATTAATAAAATAAAAGAAAGGTGCGAAGAGATTATTATTTACCTGTGCTCTATGTAGCTGAGAATTTTACAGATCAGCTTAAAGAAATGGACGTTTGCAGTCGGTTAATATTTTGCAATACCGTCAAAATTACCTATATAATCCAGAGGAACCCGCACCAAATGTACAATTATAGAAATCCAAAAATGTAGTTAACAAACATTTTTATTTGGGACTTTCTCCCTTTCTTTACACAGGCTGTTCCAAAGTCCACACTACAATTAACTGTGGTATTATTGAAGAAGTTTTTACGTTGCTTAACAAAAAAATTTGAATCGGATTTTTGAGATATTTTCAACTCTAAATGTCTTTTTAGCGAGACATTCTGTATAAAGAGTTCTAAATGTATTTTTTTCATTCAAGTAAATGCGACATATTAGAGTGTTATTCTGTGTGCTGTAGATATAGTAAACGAGCGCTCAAAAGATAGCAATCATTATTTTCAAATAGATTTGCTCTCACCGCCGATACTTTCTAACGATATATTATATCGTCAGTTTAAAGAGGTAGCAACAGATAGAATAAATTAATTAGAGACTTTGAAAAATTAATTGGTATTTCTTTAAATAAGAAAATTTTTTTGCAATAGCTAGATTTTTTGCAATAATTCCTAATTTTAAATAAATGATTTGTTGCATTTAAATACCGGCCTCTTCAAAAGCATTCATTATTGAGTTCATTTGATTTATAAATTATTCAAGAATTGCAAAAGTTATTTTATGGACCGAGAAGTCTAATTTTTCGATTCAAGGAATATTTAACAGAATTCAGAACATCATAACCAGAAAATTTTCAGAAAACATTTATTCTTCAGAAAAACTTCTGAATGCATAAAACCTTAAATGCATTTCTTAAATATTTAAGTTTTCCAGGGGTATAGAAGGTTTGTCAAAGATGTGAACTTTACACAAGAGTATTTGTAACCTTTGCGTTTTTGACAATATCAAAAGATCTTATTAAAAAAAGTTGATCAGAACTAAGTTTACGCGAAGTTTAAGTACCTATGCAATTATACCTATTTGCGATGAAATTATAGGTTTGTTGTTTTTCATTAATTTTTCTATTTCTAAATGATTTTACTAACTATTCACTAAATTAATTTAATTTAATCGTAATTGCATGCTCTCGCCTTAAATTACATGTAATCATAGTCAAATTTGCATTGTTATTGTAGACACGTTTCAATGAAGGAAACATATTTTTTTATTGCAAATGGACATAATTACATATTGGTGCAAATAGCTATTATACAGGGTGTCCCGTAAGCTCATGATCAAAAGGGTACTGCGATATTCTTTGGACCAAAAGAAGACGATCTGACCTAATTTTTATTAACAAAAAATGTCTGGCTCCTCTGCTGTATATGGTCAAAGTTCTTCAAAAAATTTATCTTTTTCGAAATATCGGGAGAATGGTACGATGTATTTTAGTGAAACTCGCTGTGAATTTGTTCTTATGTACGACTCATATTTTGATGAAACAATCGAATTCAGCCGTTTTGGACAAGTGGTGAATTCTTGAGTGTCGTGGTACAAAAACTGCCAGAACTTTTTAGTTGGAGGATGAAATCACCTCATTTTTTTAGGTTGATGCACTAATCATTTATTCACAATTTTGTGCTATTTGTAAAATCTTGTAGCATTCATGGTTTTTGCAAAAAAAAAATATTTCTGGTTCTTTGCCACTTAACAATGTCAGGCATTAACTGCAAATATCGTGATATATATGATCGAGGCATAAAATCATTGTCAATCAATCTCACAAATTCGTTTTGAATGACCTTYTCTAATGAAGAAGTGACCGACATGGTCAAATGTAAATGTCTAGCATTGCTAAGTGACTAGAAAACAGACATATTTTTTTACGCAAAAACTATGAATGCTACAASATTTTACAAAGAGCACAAAATTGTGAATAARTKATTAGTGCATCAACCTAAAAAAAAATGAGTTGATTTCATMGTCCAACTAAAAAGTTCTGGTAGTTTTTGTATCACGACACTCAAGAATTCACCACTTGGCCAAAACGGCTGAACTCTATTGTTTCATCAAAATATTAGTCTTACATAAGAAGAAATTCACAGCGAGTTTCACTAAAATACATCAGACCATTTTCCCGATATTTCGAAAAAGATAAATTTTTTTAAGAACTTTGACCAATAGCAGAGGAGTTTTGGTCCAAAGAATATCGCAGTACCCTTTCGATTATGAGCTTACGGGACACCCTGTATATTAAGTTTTCAGAAGAACATGCTTTATCGATGCATAATAGAGGACGTGAAAAAATTCAGTATTTGCAAAGGCTCACATTTTGAAATAAAATACCATTTCGTAATTTTTAATAACAATTTCATAAAATAAACGAGTAAAGCTTCCGAAGAATGTATTTACGGTTCTGCAAATAAACTCTAAAAAACCAAACAGTCGTATTCTATGCTCTCGTAAAACACTAGCAGTGCATGCTTCACAAGGAAAAACCATGCTTGTCTCCAAATAGCTCGTTCTGTCCTGGCCTCAAATACTTCAAAAACCTCTAGGAAAACTCGAAAAGTCTTCAAAACTCTAAATGTAGACTTTAAAGGTCAAAATATTGAGTTCTGGTTGCGATTAGGCAAATGTTAGGCTGCACCCGCACCTACAGCAAGTTGATTTCAGTAATATTTCAAAACAAAACCTGACGGGTTTTTTCGATACAAATCGCCTAATTATTAAAAATACAAAACCCCAAATTTGTGAAGTATAAGTAACAAAGTAGAAAAACATACAGAATATGTGAAAAAAGTTACAAAACATACTTATGTTTTATTAAATGTAAGTTTCATTAAAATGGAACACCCTATATATTTCGATATTTATATATGGTTGTAATCTTCCTGAAACCGATGCTACGCCTATGGATATATTGGCTGCTGCAGATAGGATTTATTTATTTAAAGAAATATGATTGGTATTTTATAACGCGACAATTGACAATAAATTATCCAACAGATGTGAAAAATTCGGCAACATTCCGATTTTTTCTCCAACATACTGCAATATGAAAGTCGATGATTTAATATAGGAAAACCCAATGTGACTTCATTAAAATGCAGAGTTAATCGTCAGATCGAGGTGAGATCCGTTTTCGAAAAATTTGTTTACACGCTCGGCTGTGTCGGAAAGATCATGGGCTTTAAACTCTGGAAATTACTGTTTAACCGAAAGGTGAATTTACAGGATAATTTGTTTAAATGCTGCTAAACTTAGTCGGAAATACGCATCTTAGTGGCATGTCGAATTAAAAACAGGTTTTGGACCATTCACCTGGAGTAATTGTTTATTCTATTTTAAATTCGATAATATGAATCATCCGATCATTGGGTGATTTTTACGGTTGGTTCAGGGAAATTAATTAACTCATTTTTATTTTTAGACTCCTGCTTAATATGGTAGACATGTATCTTGCATTCTATGCAAACTCATACAAGAATTGTTGCTAAAGCATGCAAGCATTTTCAGTTCTGCGATCCAACATCTCTAAAATGTATGTTTGTTTGGGAAGATTAGAAAGTAAAATTTATTGGGCAGTCATTTTAACTCAATTTGATCAAAGAATTAATGAGGCTCTTGCAGAAATAAAACCCTTACAAATCATGAATGCCCTAAAATCCTTTAGGAAAGGGATTTTAAAGCATTTCCGTTGACTTCAGTTATTTTAATGCTAATCTGAATCTTTCATTTCGTTTGCAAACGAGTAAGCGGCCCGGTATATCAAGCATTGTACTTACATCAGAGCCTGTAAGCCAGAATAGGGAATTATAATTTTAAAGAATTATAAAATTGATAAAATTGTAATAAAAATAAATTTAATCAGAATAATAAAAATAAAATAGTTCAATGTATTATTTGGAGTAAATGTGATTACCCATTTATATACATTTGTATTCGTAAATTAATTAATTAAGTTACAGTGTCATATCGCTAAGGTATATGTGGGTTTTGACTTTATAATCAAGGAAAAATGATAAAAACAATTATAGTAATAATAATTCAAAAAAAGAAGAAAAAACAAGGATGCTGACCGGTAAAACTAAGTCACCATCATCATCACCCACACCTCTCTCGGCGATAGTGCAATAAGGCAATTTTCTACAAGATTTAGGCAGAGCTTAGTTTCCTACATATTAAATCTTATTATTTTAAAGTTTTCAACTGCTCGGAGCTAAAACTCGTATTAGCAAAAAACTCTCGTTGCCTTTCAATGGTATTAGCGAAACTCCAGAATTGCACCAGGATCAGAGGCCGATATTCTAGATCTTAGAACTAGATGGATAGAAAAAAAATGATCACTCTCGATCAGCGACATTAAGAGAGTAACACATGTGAAATATTTCAAGTAAAGCTTGCTAATATACGGAACCTCGACTAATATTCGATCAGTCCCAAGACGATTTGAAGTCAGATTATCTTTGAAAATTCTTATATGAAACATGTAGTTTCCTGAGGTTGGTTGCAAAATTTACTTGCTCCCACATTACGAGGTCTGCCATAAAATAAAATAATGTAAATCGTGTTTTTTTAAGAATTCAAATTTCTGTGCTTTAGGACTATTCGTTTTAAACAACAATTTTTTCCATGTATATTGTTTTGATTTGAACAGGTCAATTACAAAACATTTGGTGTGAAACTAGATAATAAATCTGGCACCAGGTGGATATTTGCCATAATAATAGTCATTTTACTAACAAGTTGGTGGTAGTTCCTACATCAGGGATTGCCATGTTAAAACAAATTTTTGTTTATTCTAGTGACAATAACAGAACATTTGTGCAATGCCGTTTTTTGGTCAAAATTAGTCGGTGAGTATCCATACATTTAATATAAACCACTTACTAAAACATGTAACGTTTTACTTAGCGTGTAGATAAATAGTGGATGTTATTTTCACACTTTTGGAAAGGCTATTCTGGGAATTCCCCAAAATGAAGAAAGTCCGCAAAGAACCACGGCTGTTGGCCAATGTAATGGAAGCTATTGCTTCCTTCAAAGAACGCCAGGGATCAACTTCAAAGCAGATTATTGAATTCGTAATTTTCCAGAAAGTTTGTTGCCTTGCAATCTGTTCGTCACTCTTTTTTGTCCTTTTAGATTATCAACTATGTGAAACGAAGGAAAGACGGTCCGCGCAATGTAACGTTGCAAGTGAAGAGAGCCCTGGAGCATGGAGTACACTCCGGGCTGATTAGACAAAGAGGAGGGAAATACTCGCTTGGGTTTGATCGGAAGGATTATGCTATTTACAAGCGATTTAAGCACTTTACGGATGCCAACGGAGGTACGTCGTTGTACAAACGGAAAATTAATTTCGCCCTGAATGAAATCATTTAGAATTTGAGAATTGCCGTTAAGTTTTGACAACGTTCTGGCTCCTTAGTAAACTTGGCAATTTTATTTTCGCTAGATTGCAACTCTTGTAAAAGACGTCGCAAAGGCCGACGACGTGGACGCCGAAGTCGTCGAAGTAGACGACGGGGGCGTCGTGGCCGAAGACGCGCGTCCATTGAGGAAGACGATGCAGCAGACGAGACCGATACAAGCGTAAGCCTAGCTGAAGGTAGTTTACAATATTTGCTAATTTGCACATCAAATTAAAGTTTACTTGGGAAAACGAAATTGAAATGCGAATGTCTAAAAAGTACTATTTTAGGTTCTAGATTGTATAGGATTTTTACTTTTAATCCTTTTTTAACCAGACGTTAGCAAACAAAGATATCTCAAACTATTTTCTAGGGACACCGGAGCCTATGGACAAAAGCCGTCGGCGTCGCCGTCGCAGAGCCAGGCAAGGAAGAAGGAAGAAGTACCATCGAACGAGAAGAGCAGGGACTCCAATTGAAGATTCTAGCGGCAGTTCAGATGTAATCAACAAGGATTCTAAAGCAGGAACTCCTCCAGAAAACCGACGGTCTGATCAGTCAAAGTCAGGTAAAATTTGAGGAAAGCATTTGAGTAAAAGCTCTGAAAAAACTCTTGGAGGCTATACTAAAATTAAATTCCAGTTCTTATTAGTCGAAATGATATTCCAGATTATCAGTCGAAAGCTGGCAGTACTCATCAAGGGCAAAACCAAGAACAAGATGGACCAGTAGACTGTGGAAATCCTGATTGTCTTTGCAACATTAAACAGGAAGAAGACTCGCCTCAGTGTTTGTCCAGAGAAAATATCTATTACAATTAGATAGGACCATGCTTCAACTCATCGATGTGGAGCTGAACAAATATTTATATCTAGAGCTATAAATTAAATAACAACCGTGGCAATTTTAGTGTATATTGTGGACTGTGAACAACTTTTTACTTGAGAAAATCAATGGAAGTAATGTCGCCTAAAATTTATTGTATATGTCCTGTTTTTGTGTCATGTATGTAATATATCTATACCATTTTTTAATTCCTGTAATGTTGGTGTACCTACATATAAAAAGCTTAAGCGAAAAAAGAGAGTAACGTTGGACAAACTTAACTGTGTAGGCTGATTGATTGGTTTAAAACCATTATTTAATTTTACTTTGACCCTTTTTCCTTGTTTAGCTGCATGTTTTGTTCGTTGCTCGTCAGGATATTACTTGTACAAAAATCCTCAGCTGTACGTTGTCCTTTTCTTTTCCAAAGGTTCTTATTGTTTTTCTGTGCCCCTGATGATAACAGAGTTATTGAAAACGCTTGACCAGATATAATATTCAACCGTTATTGTTTAATTTAAATGAAAATAAACATCGTCTGTAGTCGCTCATTTTCTAAATTAGGTGTTTCATTGCCGGGCTGAATATCTAAAATACCTTTACTAAATAATTATAAAACTTGTGGATTTTAATTTGCTTTTCCTCCTATCCAATTCAAAACAAACCGAAGCAAAAGTTTTTAAAAGTCTAATTACATATATTGGGCCTCTTTTGTACTCAACTGTTCTTAATAGTATTCCGACGGGCTCGAAACTTTCTGATAAATACACATCAAACAGCTAATATTTTCGTTGATTATCGGGTCTGGTCATGTATAAAACCCTTTCAAAGTTCCGTAATCTTCGTACTTACCTTCAGTAAAGCCGGTTGATCGTTATGGATTTTATCCAGCTATTCGCTCCTTTCAAACTCATTCTCAACATATCCGGCTTTTGGCCTCAGAAAAATCCCAAACCAATTGTAAAAGTACGCAAAGTCTTCACGTTGCTTGTCAACTTATTCTTTTGCCTATCTTTATCCATTCAATGTTTATTTTTGAGAAGTCAAATAGAAGAGTTTCTTGATGTGTTGACTGTGATTACACCGCCTGTTGCTTACCTGTTCAAGCAAATTGTCTTCTTCGGCCATAGCAGCGCTTTCTTGACGCTGATGGACTTTCTGAAAGATGATGACTTAGTATCCATCCCTTTGCATTTGCAAAAGCAAATTTCCGACTCTCTTCAGGTGGCTAAAATTATCGGAGTTGGATACCAAGCTTGCTGCACCATGACTATTTTATTTATTGTTATTTGGCCCATGTTTACCGAACACCAATTACCTGTTCAATTTACGCTGTTTGATTTGGGTGATTTTTATGCTTTTATGTATCTGCTGCAAATATTTGCTCTGGCCAATGCAGCAGCAAATAGCTCCAGTCTGGATCTAATTGCTTTGACTCTAATGTGCATTGTCAAAGGACAAATTTGTGTGCTAAATGACAAAATCCGCTCTCTCGGAGAAATAAATGCAAGCAAAGGTCACGGTGCCCAAAGAGTGAAGTACGTTAGTGGTTGTGTACTTCATCATACCAAAATCATCGAGTAAGTTAATTAATTATTTGCTTAATTGCAATAATTTTTTGAATGATTAATTTCAGGCTTGTTGCACTGATTGAAAATGTCTACTCACAAATTGTGCTAATTGAGTACTTGACGAGTATGGTTGTAATTTGCAATATTGGATTTCAGCTGGTTATTGTAAGATCGCATTTTCATGAAATACATTTCTCGATATGCACATTAGAAGATTTGCAATTATTTTATTAGGCTGCTTTCGATGAATTTTAAAATTTGTAAAAGTGTAATTACAATTTATTATTATTTGATAATCCTGCTGATCGAAAACTTTTACAATAGTTTCATATACTTATAATTTTCACTTACAATTAAAATTTTGTCTGCGTTTCTGATTCAAACATTTTTTTAGGTGGAATTAGCTAGTTTTGCGTTCCTTCTTATGTTAACATTTCTGGTAACTATGCTGTGTCAGCTGGGCATGTACTGTTGGTTTGGAAATGAGATTATGTTGCACGTGAGTTAGTTTTTCTAGATTTGTTACATTTAAACTTCGAACTTCACTAATCTGGACATTAACCGATTAACCCCGAGTTTAACACAAATGTAATGTTAATGTTGCAAGAAGCATTTTTGGGCACTTTTTAAATCAAACTTTACAAATTCGATCTCCTTAAAAAGTCTTCAAAATCAAGACATCAAGTGTTTTTCTGTTGTAAATCAATTTTTTTGCCTCATGAAAATGTTAAAATATCACTTTATATATGATGAATATCACACTTTAAATAAATTATTTTTTCCAAACGATTTGTGCTAGGGAATTTCAGCAGCCAGCGCCCTTCAGGCTGTAATTGGTCCAGATCAATATTTTAAGCAGACTAACAGCGACTAAATGAGTTTTTTCAGAATAAATCAGATTTTAGGGTATTTTGGGTGGTCTGAATTGTAGAAGTAGATGGCAACCAGGATGGTAGTTTTTCTTTGGTAGCATTTACGCTGCTCGCATGTGCAGATTTGCGGATTTTGAGGCAAATTATATATAACGGCTTTTACGAAATTATGGCGCACTTATTTTCGTATGCGTTAGAATGTTCTTCAGATGAAACAGTTAACTTAAAAAAACCGTTTAAAGGTGGCACATTCTGAATTTGAACTCCATTTACTCCCTTAGTGTAGCCGCTCTCCAATTTGAGGCTGGCATAGTTTCAACAGCTTTTTCTTTGGGCTTTTTGCAAATTTTGAAACTTTTCAAATGCCTTGACATTTAACGAAGTTACGGGCAAAAAAGTGAAGGTATGCGCAAATGAAAAAGTCGACCGGTTGCCAACATCAAGGTTCATTATTATTCAGGGCCCATTTTCTTCCAAACTGTTGCAAATACAAATTTTTTATAGACAGTGAATGTGTCGAATACACTTTGCTCTAGTTTGTTCAATCTGATGTTCTATATTGAAAATGAGTTAATCGATCAAAATCGTATTTTTGACCTTGAAATCATTATAACTTCTAAGCTTTTCAACTGATTGTAATTTTCCGATATGCAGTTTTTGTAGAAATCGCACGCTCTTCAAGAAATTTCAGAATTTTAAATCGGCCCGATGTTAACAAACTTGGAAAAGGAAAACATTGATAACATGTGTTGTTAGTTATTCGGAAACTCTCGATGTCATGAAACTGGCGAGTTATTAAGGTTTTTCGGTCTTCATAAAACTCTCTTTTTCATGTTGCAAGCACCAGAAACTTGGCAAAAGCTTAACTGTTTTCATAAAAATACAAATTACTTCAAGGCAGTTTCGCCAATCAATTTAATTTAAGTTTAATAGTGCATTCGAGTGCTAAACGTTCACAAGTATTCCAAATACACTGTTATTTAGAACATTTTATCTGAAAAGTTTTGAAACCGTTTGCAAGAATTTATAGAAATTGGGTTTCTTTAAAAAAAAATTTTAGTATCTACAGCCGCTAAACCTTAAAATCTAGTTATTTTAGATGAATACAGAACATTTGCTTTCGTATGACATGGAATATCGAAAAGGATTATTGTAGTATTTTTTAATGAAAAAATCTTTGAAATATTTCATGAGATATAAAAAATTTCCAGAGCGCCGCAATCCGAGACGCATGCTACGAGTCAGACTGGATTCATTCTTGTCCTCAAGTAAGAAAGATGCTTTTGATGATAATGGAGCGTAGTAAGAGACCGCTCTATCTTACAGCCGGAAAATTTTCCATTCTTTCTTTAAACTCATTCACTTCGGTTAGTGGATTAAAACTTTAAATGTATATTAAATTTCCAGATATGAATAAGTCCTTTTTTCTTTTAGGTTATTCATTCAGCATATTCCTTTTTCGCTTTGATGCAAAGAATGTATGGAAAGTCAACAACGTTTTAACATTGAATTATTTTGATCAGTAAGATAACAAATTTTTTGTAATACTTAGATTGCACGATTTTTAACATTTCAGAAATGAGATTGTTATTGGAATTAAATGAATGTCGCAATATAAGCACTTTTGAGCATAAGCACCATTTGAGTTTTACTTTTTCAGTTTTGATCTAGATCCCTAGATGTTCACCAAGTGAATAGGATGAAAAACTTCAATATCAATGCTTTTTAGTGGCTTACATATTAATCAAATAATTCCACTGTCCTGATATAACAGATGGTTTTTGAAACAGGTACGCACTATATGAACTTTTTTTAGTTTTAGCTGTTTTTCAAATTAAAATAAAAAATACTCGAAAGTCGAGAGAAGTTAAGTTCAAAAAGTCAAGCGCATTCAACCCATTCCATCATCGTTAGAGTCGAGCGCAACCGTATGTGGATGACACTTTTGTAACATGAACCGAGACAATCTTCTAGATCTGCTAAACAAGTCACATTTATGGATACAATTTAATATAAACGTAGAAGACTATCAATGGATGTTTGGATCCTTTGATATCCAAGATAGGGAATTATTTGGACCATAAGGTTGTGTTTATTAATATTTAAACATTTTGCAGTACATATAAAAATTAAAACATCGATTAAATGGATACAGTACGTATGGTTCCAGCTATTCCAAATACTCCAGCGTTAGTGTAAATGCATCATGTCTAAAATTTCTATACATGCGGACAAATCGTCTTCTCACGCATCTCAAATAATGACGAACTTTCTTGCATATTTTTCTATGTTGTGCCAGTTGCACCTTTGGTCTTCTTTTGGAATTTTTATAAAATTTACTCAGAGATATCTCACTTAGCAAAACTAAACCTGAAACGCATTTTAGATAAATATTTCACTTATAGCGAGCACATTTACCAGCAAAAATATTGCCGATGAACAGCAAATAGAAAACCCCTTGAAGCATTTTCAAGTTGATAGGTTTTAGTTTATCGTCTTCGCTGGATTTGATTGATCTTTTGGTTTCTGGGTCCGATGCAGGATTATCGCCTTCGGGCACTTCTAGGACTTGGATTTTTTGTTGTTTTCCTAAGTTCTCGTATTCATTTTCGGTCATTTTTGTTATAATTCCTGCTTCGAATATAGCCATCAGTCTGCAATGCATTAAAACTATCAGCATTTTATTAGAGTTGGTATCTAGAAAACTCGCATTTTATTGATTTCTTCTATGAAAGGACATCCCGATTGCAACGCTATGGCAGAATATGCAGTATTTAGTTTTTCGCTCAGATGAAAATTCTTTGGACCTAAAACACAGGTAGAACATTGCAATGGAAATTTTTATTATAAATCAAAGCAAAGTGGATGGTAAGACTGATGTTACCAAAGCGCTGTATATCAAAATACAAGGTTTCTCGCCCAGCCATAACAGCAACATTTTTATTATCCCTAACCAACTTCACTCCTTCCTCCACCGATTCCACTGCATATCTATTCTGCCTTCTCTCCATCTCATCCCATATTTCCCCATAAATCCCACTGCCATTCTGGAAATATCAATGAACTTTTTATCAACGTTTTCCACAAAATCCTGTTTGATTTACCTCCAACAAACCATAGGAAGGACTTTGCTTTTCCACAAATAACTTGAAATCTTTGGATTGCATCACGCCTTTCAACTGATAAAGATTATTAATCGCTTTTTCTGGAATCGTCGATGGGTTTTAAAATATTATTTGCTACCCAAACATACAAACCTCTTCCAGGGCGAGCCAGTAGGGAAGTCAGATTAGCTGAATACATGTCGGTTATTACATAGGTAGCAGAAATGGAGAGAAGCATAATGAATGCTCTTGCTTTGTGGGTAGCGCTCGGCTCTTTTCCAGCTAAACATCCAACAACAAATCTTAGCTCGAAAAATTGTAAGTTATCGAACTTTTTTCAGCAGTTTCTCCTTTATTTTATATGTACAGGGCGTTCGGATGCATAATTTTATGACTTAGTTATATCCAAAATTGCCTTGATAGTCAACGAATAATGTTCATTTTCCCGACGTCCAGAAGGTGAATCGGATTTTATGACGATAACCCACATTTGTTTGAATACTCTGAACTGTTTTAAACAGATCTGGCGTGTAATTTCAAGATTAATTAGAGGTAGAATTAGCAAGCATTTTATTCCTTTTTGGATATATTCAAAGACATAATGGAGTTGTTTTAAATTCTTAATTTGAAATCCTTTCAAGTAAATGCGCCTACCTACAATTGATTGCTTATTAGAAACTTAATGAATGTTTAAAGGGTTTTGTGTTGAAAAAACCTGATCAGGTAACAAGGGACCAAACTATTTAAAATTACCTCCATTCTACCAAAGATGTAAATATGCACGTCCACTTTAAGGAAAATGACAATTATTTTCAAAGCCATTACAAATTAGCCGTCATGAGAAGTAAATTACCCACTAGGCAACTTAAAATAAAATCCAGGAATTATCGAGAAATGAGGAGAGGCGAAATAAACTTTGAGTAAAACTAAGATCAAAGAAAAGTGGGTCTTCAGGACGAGTCGTCCGATCGTTGTACACGATGTATCCGAACACCCAGTATAATGCTTACTTTGTTTCAGTAAAATCGTAATGGTAAACCAAGTGCAGTCAAAGAATAATCTAGCATGAGATCGCACTGGAAAACGAGGTTGCCAGATATTAGGTAAAGCTATTAAGGCGTACAAGAAAGGGCCGACCACAATGCACGTTAAGCCAATCGCAGGCCAAACCTAAAAACCAGATACTATTTACCAAAGCAAAGTGTGCTGGTGCTGGTAAAGTTTCTTATTGTGGGGAAATTCAAAAGAAATTAGAATCAAATGTACGCTTTATGCCTTTTTTAAGATGCGCTGCATATCTAATCTTTGAAAAGTTAGGAACAAGATGCATAATTTTTAATTGGTGGGCGAAAGGGCCTAAACCTACAGGAAGGATTGAAAATATTTAATGGACGATAGTAATTTTTGAATGTCCTTTTCGATAGAACGTCTGAATAAATGTCTATAACTTTGCTTTATCCGAGATGTTTAATATCGAAAAGTTATCATAATCTTTTTCTTGGGAATCTCGTCTCAAAATTTTTGTCTTTGCAATGCATTTGAAATTTTAGTCATCGGTAGCAAATACTGAAAAAAACGTGATTTTTTATCTCATTTAAACACTGAGAAACCAACCAAAAAATTTACAATTGAAAAAGATCAAAACAACCAATTGCTTTTCTGCATATACCATTTAAGAAATCCGTGGACAATTTCGAAACTTTGGTATATAGAAAACCGACTCATGTAAAGAGATATTTCGTTTTTAACTGACATCACCCGAAAATGGCAAAACACGCATCGTTTAGCAAAAGTTTAGGCCAAGAAAGACTAGTGCGGACTTTCAATGTTTGCCATTATTGCAATTTATGTATGTTTGTATGTTGTCAAATTTCAAAAAGTGTATGGTAGTACTATGGTTCCAATTTTTAGAAAAAACACGTTTTTTTTTAAGTTGGCCTAAGTTTTCTTTAACTAGGCAAAGACGCAGTTTCAATAGCTAGCTGACAAAAAAATAATTATTGAAATGGATCAAAAAGTGAAGATTTTATAAGGATGATAAGTTCTTGACCCGGTCACACTGTATATTAACATGTACCTTTGCAGCATCGCTTTATATTTACCTGCCATTGAAAGGGTCTTAAAAGAGCCAATGCTTCATTTAATCTGCTGGGCGCGTGTGTAACAAATGCACCACTATCAGCCAGAGTAATAAAGGAAAACTCGACAACTGTGGCCCTTTCATATGTGATTCCCATGTCTCCAATAAATAAGTCCGCTTCCTGTAATGCGATTGTCCTGCCACCATTAAACGATCAAATTCTCCTAAATTCAAGCCAACTCTAAGCAAAATTACCCTTTCTGACAGCAATCCTAAGACACCATTAAACCCTCCGCTCTCAGAATCAGACGATCCTTGGCTTCTTTCCGGAGGATCCGAGTAGCGAAACCTAAATTTGATTAGCATTGCTCTCATCATTCTATTGAGACATTAAGCAATGCAACACTTAACATACGCCGAGTTTAATTTACCTGAAATTCAGTTTTTTGGATAACAAGTGTAGGATTCTGTGATCCCTTCCTCCAATCACCTCAAACGACTTTGAGGGGCTTGCATTGTATCGCACAAAATGCCATGGGGGTTTCTAAAAAAATCATTCTAAAACTGAAATCACTGTAGTCCAAACAAAACGAAACGAAAAAAAATGTCTTTGGTCAATTTTAAAATTCCTCTCCAGTGTTAGTCTGAACCTGGCCTTTTTCATCCCAACAGGCGAAAATCAGCATACTTGGAATCGACTATATTTTCAAAACTATTATACAAAACTTACATGCAAAACTGGCACATGCAAGTATTTGCCATGAAAATCCTTGTATACGGACTTTTTCGAAGGCAAAGTTGGATGGTGAAATAAACCTTTATCTTGGTTCCACCAATTAATCAGTTCCAACTGGTGCTTTCTGTATGAAGTCGCCTGGCTGTAGTATAACCTAAAGCTGAAGGACACATAATAGGCTTTGAAGAATTAAATATTTCGCTTCGCTTACGTGTCTAGTCTTGGATTGGTTATGGCAAATACTCTCATAGCATAATGGATGTTTTTTAAGAAATACTTTTTGATCGGTGTTTGCCCCCAACTGAATATATAAATCAGATTCCTTCGAATGCAATTTTGGTCGTAGATCTACAAACCTGCTAAATAAGGGCTTTCATTTTCATAACAAGCACTTACCTGGAGCAAAATATGTTCATACAACTTTGGAGATCCGAAGAAAATGGTGATCAATGGCAAATAGTTTGTCTTGTGGTAAAATAAGTTTTCGAAGTACTTGAAAAAAATGTCATCTGAAGAAATGCTGTTAAATCGTATGAAGAGCGTACTTTACCTTATCCTGGGAATCTACAGTAGACAAATTATATATATCAACGGAAATGTGTCCACTTTCCAATTTGCGGAGAAGAACTGTAGTAAATTCTGGGTCTGAAAATGTAATCGAAATTGCTCCTACTAATTTATTTAAAAGAAAAAAAGAGTAAATAAAATTTACCCGTTTTGTGAAATCCAATAGCTAATTTAGTTTCGGGGAAATCATGTATGATGTCAAATACAGCCTCTACTAGATTCCCTCCATAGGTGATCCTTAATCTCTGAAGGTATTCTGATTAAGCGAGCACATTTAAATAAAAACTCTTAAAATCACCAACTTTCCTACCTTTTCCAGACTCTGGTATCATCAAATTTGCCGCGCCAAATGTGTAAGGTAATATAAATATATTCAAACTTACGGCGTATAAAATGGTTTCCATTTCAAATTGTACGAAGTTATACCAACTTGGATGCGCAAACTGCTTTTAAAATTAGTTATCAATTTGAAGTGAAGGGTGGATAATTAGTAATCATAGACGATCAATCAAAGTGATTTGGGGAATAAAAAATGCAAGATATTAATTAATATTTAATATGGGTGTCATGTAAAGGCCCCAGAATGATATGATTGACGTAAATTGAGCTTAAACAGAAACTATTTGCTACAACTGAGCGTTCTTTGATAGAAATAGAATATTAAAGTTACAAATTCAGAACCATTATATAGCTAATTTAATGCCATTTCAATCATTCACAAAATATCGCAATCACCAAGAAAAATGAGACCCTAAAGGGTTGACGTAAGAGCAGAAAAAAATTCATTCTGTCTAAAAAAATAGAAATCCAAATTTTTTTATACATAACATCATAGTCGAATTTGATTTGTCAATAATGCTAAAGCGTTTTTAATATTTTATTTCTATAATTTATAGTGTAATTTTAAACTGTTTATCTGCGTTTTCCCAGTTTTCCTACTTTTGAAGGTCGTTTAAGAGTTCAAGTATCGTGTTTCCCTAAAAAATATATATTTATCATATGATGAAAAATATGTTAAAATAGTCTATGCATAAAATATTTAACTTATTGTCAGAATAAAATGGTATTTAAAAACGTAATTTTTCAGATGAGACAAATTGATGTATCGGGATTAATAGATTTAACAGTTGCTCACCTTAATCCTCTCTGCTAGCACCCGCTTCCAATAAACATAAACTATAACCGATATTACAATATTAAGGATGCCTATTGCATAAAATCGATAGAGGTGGATAATTATATATATTTTTTAACCAGCTTCACAGGATTGCTCTTGAAAATTTTAACGTTATTAATCAGTTTGGCTTCTTCTAAGTTCTACCAACTTTGCAGGAATCTCTGATGCTCTCGTAAACTATATAAAGACTCAATATTGTCCGGCTAAAAGTGTATCCACTGTTTAAGAAGTTCTTAAAAGTTTCTTTATTCCATGTTTCTAGGAGAGTGCCCATAAAGGATTCCAATTCCTTTAAAGGAACAACTGTGATTACACTGAAAGCGCCCAGAAATCATTGAACGAAATATTTTTAAACAAGTTGATTTCAGATGAGCACAGTAATTGTTTAACGATCAATCTATAGAATTACCTCCGAAAGTATTCTTACATCTTTCATCTACTGTAGCTGAGCATTTTGCGGTTTATTAAGCATTGCGGGGCAAGACTTCGCACCAGGAAAAGAGAGAGAAGAGAGAAGAAAATACTGACTCTAGACATTTAATTTAATTAGAATAATAATAATAACAATAATACGTATAAGTACAAAAATGAATGCCGTCAGTTTAACGACATAAGTACAGTGTCACATTTTGCATTTTCTTGTTTTACAATCAAACCACTTCTTATCCAATCAATGATTCGGCGTGATTTTTTTAATCAAGCTTAGATAATCAAGAATTTGCGAAAAATCAGACTCATTAAAATTATATCGGCCAGGAAAAATCATTTAGAGAAAGTTGATTTTTGTAAATATGTATCTAACAAGGCTCACTTTTATCAAATGAGATAGACTTTCGAGGCCATTCCTTGAAACTACTTGTTGTCTTCCATTTTGTCATTCATTCTGTTATATTTTTCGTCCATTTTCCTACTGTTGTCGCTCATTTTGTCCATTTTTTCGCTCATTTCTTCTTTCATCTGCATGAACAGTGCAATCAAACTGGGGTTCTCCATTGCAGGGTCTTCCTTCTTTGATTTACTTCTCGTTTTCATCAAAATTCAACTTGGATTCCGGTAAATCCCACTTCTGACACCAAATGTACCGTAGATGGCCGAGTATCGAACTCTTTCTTCAGCATGTTATGTTGGACTGTGATATAAATATTTACAGTACAATAGCACAAACAAACTATGTGTTGAAAATCACGTACGCTATCAGGCAGAACCTTTCGACTACATTTTTAGTTGTATTTAGGACTCTAAAAGGAAAACAGAATGTTTCAGTCTGAAGTATAAAATGTTTCCGTTATTAATATTAAATAAGAAATAAGCCGGTAGTAAAGTAAAATATGAAATTAGCAGCAAAAGGCAAACACGACATGTTTTGTTTCATACAATGATTTAATAAAAACTTTCTTCAATTTTCACTTTTTTGCCTTTGTTCACTCAATTATAACATCGATAAAATTCTTGTTCGGGGTCCATACACCTGATAACACCATATGATCTCAAACTTGTTGTCTCTTATGATTAGTTTGTTTGTACTGGTTTTTTGCTTTGACAATTGTTAAAAAAAGTGAAACTAAAATAGAATTGGTGGTTAAATGAGTAGAAGTAGAACCGTAGAACTTAAACTAACATTAACATCATACAGTTTTCTACACCTGCAATTCAAGACTTCATTCTACTGCACTATATAAACGGCACTTCCATGTCACGTCATGTCCAAATTTGTAAAATGTTCTTATCTAGTATTTAATTTATTATAATTAGTATTATAATATATATAAAAAAACATGTTATCCAGTATATAATTTTTGTAGAAATGATTATGGGCTTACAGAAATATTGTAAAAGATAAAAAGTTCACACTATACAAGTCGTTACTCTCTTGTTATTCGAGTGCTCTAATGTCAAGCAAAAAGCAAATTCTAATAGACTATTCTAATTCTAATGCGTGTACTTGTTATTATATTCCTATCTTTCCTGGGTTTCAGTCAAAGTGTGAAGGAAACATTTTTGAACATCGTTTATTTCATTACGTTTCGGCGAAACAACAGCGCCATTATCAGTTTATTTTATTTATTTATCAGTAAATTTTAAATCTGATGATGGAGCTTTTGTCTCGCCGAAACGTAATGAAATAAACGATGTTTCAAAATTTTTACTGCACACTTTGACTGAAACCCAGGAAAGATAAGAATATCATAACTATTGAGTAGGTACAGTCATTTTTGCATTTCTTTCCTTCCTCAAAGATTATTTTCCATTAAATCAAATAAACGAGATCGATTAAAAAATATTCTACCAAACTCCCTAACAAGAATTTCAAATGTGCGAGAGCACTTTTTGAAAAGCCATTATGTATATAAACTATTCCTTATCACTCATTCGGTTTCTTTTTTATTTAGTCACTTTTAAAGTTTGATAAACCAGATCAAATGAATATATGAAGCTTACAGTATTACAAAAAGTTGTTTTTGCAGGCTTTTCAACTGCTCCAAAGACAAAAAATTAAGTCATGGAAAAATTTGAATCGAATGGCAAAATGGTTATTTCAGAAAGGCATTAATATACATAAATGTCAGAGTGCGTTTTTGAAAAGTTTTTTGTGTGCGCTGCCGTGTCCGTATATTATTGAAGATTGCTTCAGTTTTGCCAAATTCTGATGATTCTGATTCTGCCAAAAACAGATAAAATGTTATTTATTTTCACAGCAAAGTTTAAATATTGCTTACCTTATTTTAGCCATTAGCCAGTCCCATCTCACATAATAGACCAAGAGCCCGATTCCGAAACCGACGGCACATATTGTACAAAATAAACATACGCCAAGTACCCAATCCCATGAATACTGTATAATCTTTAGCACTTTTCCAATAAGGGCAGACGCAATTAACATTCCTGCGATACTTCGAAAGGCATATTTAGCAAGTTTCATCAAACTTTCCTGAAAATTTACCAATATGTTTAAAATAATATATTGTTTGAAAATACTACTCACTTCTTTCAAACAGTTGATGCAACATTGAACTTCAAAAAGTATCAGTAGAATATGATACAGCATATAAATCATGTGAAAGTGGCCCTCAGTGTCTTTTCTATAAATGCAGTCCAGGCCAAACCAGCAAAGACAGAAGCAAATAAAACCCAGAATTGCAATTATGATCCATAGAAAGATTCTGGCTACTTTCCAATCCTCAGATGGTTGCTAGAAATTAGGATTTTATAGTTAAGGTTATTTTTGGCTGTATGGCTTACTTCTCCGGTATTTTCCAGCAGAAATTCGTCCTGACTTTGGTGAAGGTCCATTTGGAGGCGCAAACGTCTTGTTTGGAAATTTTCAAGTTTCGGCTCGTCAATTGCAGTTTCTGCTCGCTGTTGGTGATTTAAATTTGCAAATAAACATTTTATAAAAATCACTAAATGGATAAAGATAGGTATATTTCTTCAAAATCTCTAAACATTTTCTAATCTTCCGGTCAAACAAAACGAAATATAGGGCTAACTAAAAATGTACACACTCGAGAATGAAAATTAAGTATGTTAAAATATCGGGTTGAAATATAATGAAAATAGAGTATGGCAAAAGTGGGTTGTGTTGCGTTATACAGAAAAACTTCCTTAGCCTTATATATGTAAAGGCTGTTCCAATAAGAAGGCCGGTTTTAAATTGCTCCGCATTTGTAGTGTCATAATTGGACAAAAATGGGGCATTTGTTAGAAGACAGCAGGAGTTCAATTCTAATTACTTACTTTGAATTGCGATTTTGAGAAAACTAATGATTCGACAGCTGCCGTCCTTGACGCATATAAGGAACATTAATCCCTACTTTCGCTCAAAATTTAGCTCTTCAGCTGGAAAAATTATAGTGCTATGAATTTTTGAAAAAACGCCCAATTTGTCGGTTCTTCCTAATTCCTCAGAACCTAATTATCCGACTGAAACGTGACTCTCATTTTGTATATAATTATATTATAATATTTCCATTAGTGTCAAAGTTATGTACAAAAAAAGGCAAAAATCGCGTTTTTTCAATAAATTGTTAATAACTAACATATGGACCGGAAATGTGGGGAAAAGCACATTTATCTGCTCATTACCATTATATCATAACACAATTGGTTTGCTACTAGCCTTTATTGTATATACTTTCCAGACTGTGTTTCAATTCCAAATCAAAATTAATTCCTGGGTCATTTATTGTCTTTATTTATCAATTAAAATACGTTTCGGTGTATTTTTCCGCCATCATCAGTTTCTACGTGTAGCGTTGTTGCTGCTTTAAGCCTCGGCATACATTTGGAGTATAGCTACACGTAAAAACTGATGATGGTGTGAAAATACACCGAAACGTATTTTAATTGATAAATAAAGACAATAAATGACTGAAACCCAGGAACTAATTTTGACTAGTCTTTATGTTCACGCAAAAATGCTATACAACTTGGTCTATGATGGTTGTAATGGTAGATAGTAAATAATTTTGATATCCAGAAACATTGTAACATCAATCTCAATCTAAAATTATGAAATGCCTGCACGAAGCTCAAGTAAATCTGTGTTAGGTACCGAAATTTATTTTGCTCTTCAAGGAGGGCGACACCGCAAAAATGGACAAAGATTATTACAAACCGAGTGTCAAGGAAATTCGACTTTTACCAACCAGTTGAACGAGCAGGCTAAAAGGTTTTAACACAACAGACCACCTACAAACAATTCAGCACCTAAGCGAGAAAAGTGTTGAATACAATATACTTCTTCATATGGATTTATAGATTACCACAAGGCATTTGACTCGATAGGAACATGGGCGTTTCTAACAGCAAGGGACACAGCCAGAACAGACCCAAGATACTCCACCCTCACAAAATACATCTACAAAAATGCAACAATTCAGGCTGAAGTAGACGCCACTCCGCACTCCATTTTGTGCTGCACTCCACATGGCCTGTCAGTTGAACGATCCACATCGAATAACTCCTTTGTCACTGTTTGTTTACTTGGAACTAACGTATTGGGTATGACTTGTTCGGCACTCCAGCGTGTTTTCCCCCGAAAACGAAAAACCACGGTTTTTCAAATACCACGAGAGAAATTCGAGCACGCGGCTCCATCAGAGCCAAGTGCAGGTCCCCCCTTCTATAGGGCTCCGGAAAGCCCAATGTTAAGTGCGATGAGTGCGCAGAAAGACCCGGCTACGACCGGCCCACAAAAAAGCCAGGTAAGTGCCTCTGGCAAATTCCCCAAAGCGACCCCTTATTCTTACTCCACCCACTCCTACAATACAATTAGGAAAGAACGGGACTCACTACAGTCCCAATTAAAAAAAGCCCTGGCCACGATTCAAAAACTTAACTTCAACGTAACCAAACTTTCCGAGAGGCTATCCGCTCTCGAATCTCCTGGAAAACAAATCCCCCAGGACAATCAAACACCGCCAAATCAGCCCCCAACTACGGAATCCATGGAGGTAGACCCAAATTTCTCCCTACAAGCAGAGGCAAAACGGAAAGTAGCCCTGTTCAACAATAAAGTTGAATCAGGCATTTCGTATGCCCAAAAAGCCCAAAACACTCAAGTCCAACCCGCTAAGCCCCTCCCACAAATTTCCCTTCAAACCAAAATCCCGCCCAAAC